TGATAGCCCGGAAAAATCTTACCAATCTCCTCTATGAGTGTTATACACACTCTATGTGCATAAATAATCCCATCCAATCATTTGGTGGGGGTTATAGAGGCCTGGATAGAAGAGCCATATTAAGGAATTTCACTCCACCAAAGTGAATATTCTCAAGACTCTCAAGTGAGGGACATCAGTTCACAACCAACTTTCACCCTTTGTGACATCTAGAATAATAAAATAGCCAATGGTGGGTGGATCGAAATGTTTGCACCTGACAATAAGAGGGTTTGTTCCTGACTTTTTCTGTGATTTCTCTTGTTTGTATTTCTTCATAAAATATGGGGAAATTGGTTACCCTTTCTTTTTTTAAAAGATGTGCTATTATACTAAGATGATAAGAAAACTTTGATAAATTATCTTCAATGTGTAAAGAATGATGCTGTAAAAAGATTTGGTGGATCTTCACAAAGGGTTTAGAAGACTGTTACTGTTTTTATTTTGGAAGATTGAGGTCCACCGGGGTATAGCAGCTACTCTTTAGGGTGGCACAGAGCTCACACAAGAGCTAGAAAGAGAAGCAGAGGTCACCGGATGTCAGCGTTTTCCTTGTAAAGCAAATGAGCTTGAACCGAATGACCTACCCATTGGGGACAAGACTCCCCTCATGCTATTCTTTATTATTTATATTATTAAAAGCATTTGACAGCAATAGTTATCACAGATTAGAATGCTGAATTGTGCACAGTAGAGCTTTGGATAGGTGGCTCCATAGCTTTATCCATATTTTTGTGTCTTTAGGCTTAAATTGTTACTCTGTTTTGGGTCTACTACGTTCTGATGTATTGCCCATATTTTTTTCTCTGAACCTATCAGTAATATTCCCCCCCTCCCCATCTAGAAGTAGCCTTTTTATGACTTATTTTTAAAATTAAGTTAAAATATTTTAATGAAATAGTTTGACTGCTAGTAGTGTTCACAGAATTGCAGTGCCTTTTCTTTTGAATAATAATAATAAAATCCCCTTTGTTACCTACTAGGCAGGCGCTCTTAGAAAAGTTACCTCACTTTTTTGTCCTTCTGTAAAATAGGATTAGTTATATTTCACTCTACTACAGGATTATTGTGAGAGTTACATTACTTTGCAAATTTTAAAATAACAAAAACATAATAATAAAACCCATATAATAAGTAAATTCTGACTGAAACTTAGGCATTCAAATGAAGCTAAATAGGAGAATGAGTTGAAATACTGCTGCAAAATCATGGAAACCTTTATTAAAAATATAGAAATGTGGAGCAACTCTTTATTAATATCTCCTCCTCCTCCTCCTCCTCCTCCTCCTCCTCCTTCTGGGTCTGTCCACTTTTGAAGGCAGCGTGTCCATCTTCCTAACCCTTCCCCAAGGGTTCTGCCCTCTTTGGTTTACATCAAATCAGAACAACCTTTGGGCATCCTCAAGGGACTCAAAATCTTATCCCCTTTTCCATGTTCTTTAAGTTGTCTGAGGGACAGGATTAGGGTATGGTAGAGTATATGGGACAAAGCTTCGCATTGCAATTCTCACCGCCCAGGCTTTCCTCAATGAACTAGCAGGTGCTTTGTACACGTGCTCAGTGACACTTGCCTGGCCAAACACTAGTGCAGTTTTCCATTTCCTTACCTTCTTCATAATAAGTCCCAGAGGTTATTCTGTGTCCTTCAAGAAGATCTATCATGATTACCTCTTTGAAATTCAAAACAAAACAAAACAGTCACCATAATTTTCTGAACTAACCTCTTTACCTCAGATTTACTGTTTCAGTTTGGAATATACTCTGGATTGTATTAGTAAAACCCAAACTTACCCCCTATTACTCCTCTCAAAAAAGTTACTGCTATCAAGTTGGTTCTGCCTGGAAAGAACCCTGTGAGACAGAGTAGAACTTCCCCTATGGATTGATGAGACTCAATCTTTTTGTTGGTAGAAAGTCTCATCTTTCTCCCACAGAGCTGCTGGTGGTTTTGAACTGCTGACCCTGGGGTTAGCATTCCAAAGTGGAACCCACTATATCTCCAGGGCTTCTGACTCGTTATGCCTCCTTCATAAAATAGTATTTTTTAGTGTTGATTTTACTTAAAGCCTGATCAAAAGATTGGTTAAAGAGCTCTTCACCTAAAATTGGAAATGCCAGATAATCTGATATCCCCAATTCAGTGCTAGTGCAGTAATGGTAATTATATAGTCCTCTTCCACTGTTTCTACCTTCATGGAAGTTGATGATAATCCCTCTCTTTGTGCATATATGAGGGAATGCCCTTAACCACCCCCCCTCCCAAAAAAAACCCAACACCCCAAACCGGAATTGTGCTGGGCGTAGCAGAGTGGAGCTATGGTAGTACACATTTTCCTGGTTTTGCCACCACAACAATGCCCCTGCTCATGCAGCCATCTCTGCGCCAGTTTTTGGCAAAAAAAAAATAAAAGCAAACCAAACAGCAAGCCTCTCTTGTCCCATGCACTTTACTCACCTGACCTCACTCTGTGTGGTTTTTTGTTTGTTTGTGCAAATGAAGAGGGGCATGAAAGGACAGCGATTTGATGAAGTAGAAGCGACGAAGAAAAAAAACGAGGGAGGTGCTGTCAGCC